TTTTGTATGCATACCAAAAAAGCGATCTAAACATAACTATAACCAAATAACATTTAAAAAAAGTCAAGTAAGCTTAAAATTTTCAATGTTAAAGCACAAGATACTGAAATACACTGTTACTTTTACTAACTTGTATTGTAAGAGACGTCTGAGTTTAGAAAAAATTTGATCAAAAAAGATTAATCAAGTGAAATGCAAATAGATGTTTGTATTTTTATAATTCAATATCTGCTCATTTTGTAGATTTATGATATTAATTAACCAGATACGTATTCAAATTAGGCATATGACCCAACTATAGAAGATTCATATCGAAAGCAAGTGATCATTGATGACCAACCTTGTGTCCTAGAAATATGGGACACTGCTGGACAAGGTTCGTAAATATTGTTTTGAGTCATTTTATATTATACCATTTCAATTATATTTGTAGGGATTATAGCATGACAAAAATCTATAGCCAGCGTTAAAGATCTAATATTCTTAGTGTTTTCAAGTACATTTAAAAAAATTTTGAGAACACTGCATTTAAATATTATGTTCTCTTTCAAGATCAACTCAGAAAATAAAATTTATAATTTGTATTCTCATATGATATAAGAAAATACCATATAGTTAGTAAAATTGCGTATTTTTTTATCTTTAAGAACTTAAAAATTTTTTTGAGAGCATGAAATTATCAATTTATGTTTTCGAAAACAAAAAAAGAATTTTTCAGATCTTTTTCACTGTCTATAATAATATTGTCATGCCCTCTTATGCCTGGTAGCCAAAGTTATTAACTTTTAAGATCCAATAATGTTATGCCGTTATCTTCAAATATTTTAAACAAATATTTACTCGCTTTACTCTGATCACTAAATTTAATAGAACAATATATAGCTCTACGCGATGGATGGATCAGGTATTGTATTTATAATAAAAGTTGAAAACTTTGAAAAAAAAATCAAAAATGAACAATAGAAAATTATTTTCCCGATTAATAAGTTTATTATTTTTCAGGGAGGGTGAAGGTTTTCTACTTGTATATTCTATAACTTCGAGATCGACTTTTGAGCGAATAGAACGATTACATGATCAAATTAGACGTGTAAAAGACAATGTACCAGCTCCAGTTATGCTTGTTGGTAATAAGTGCGACAAAATAACTGAGCGTGAAGTTTCAAGAGAAGAAGCCATGAATTTAGCAAGATGGCTCAAGTGCGACTTTATAGAGAGTTCTGCAAAAACAAATATTAATGTGCATAAGGCATTTTACGGTGTGGTTAGAATGATAAGACAGAATAGGGAACAGAATAGAGAAAATTTAAAAAAAAAAAAGAAATCCAAGTGTATAATTTTATGATTAAAGTTTGGTTAACAAAATTATTATTTGAAATCAATAAGATAACCCGAAATTTTTATTCTTTACGCAACAAAATTTTTTATTTGTTTATTTAAGAGCTATTGTTTATATGTTATACTATTACTACATATCAGATATCCATAGTTATCATACCTAGGTCGGGTAAACCCAGGTTGTGGCAGATATCCGTGGTTTGATTATGACACTCAGGTGAATGTGGATGAGTCAACTTGTGGATCAGTCCACGGTCAACCGCGGGAGTCAGCACTGTGGCTGTTTGAGATTTTGTGCTGACCAATACAAAGTCAAGTTTTGTCTTTTGCGAATTAAACCTTAATAACAAAATAATAAAATAATAAAATTGAAATAAAAACTGTTATTAGCTAAAAGTGATAAAATTAATAAGTGTTGGAAAATTGCAATTCTATTAGTTCTATTACCTAGCCCATGTTGACTTTTATAGTAGTAATAAAATTATCAAAAAAGAAAAGCTAAAATAGGGAAAAAAGATGATATTTATGGAGTTATGCCTACGTAAGTTCGGTCACGAAACAACAGTTTATAAGGCAACAAATGCTTATAGTTTTGGTGTCATTATGCTTGAAGCATCAATTAGTTGATGGTTACAAATTTGACATCAAATTTCAATCAAGATTTACGGTATAATAGTGACGACCAGAGTTTGTTTCTGGAACACCCGATTGATACACTAAATTGGAATGAATTCAGACCCACTAAGACGGCCAAGTTCTTGATATATTTATTGTTATGGCTTAAGCTGAAAATTTCAAATATTTTATCGAAATTTTTTTGGCATTATATTATATTAAAAGAGTATAAATTGATTTTGATAAGATTTAACTTTTTACGAGCTTTAATTTCCAGTTTTAGCCACGATATTTATTTAAACTTGTGATTGGATTAAAAAGTTAGTTCATAATTGCTAGTGAAATTGTTAAATCATGAGCATATCGGCAAATTATTCAAATACAACTAGCAAGATTTCGCTTGCAAGTATTTTATAGGTACTGGTAAAGTTGAATGTGGATTTACTTTATTTGGTTTTTCAGTGTCTGCTTATATGGATTTTTAGTGATAATGCTTCTAGTTATTAATTATGAATTATTAACAGTTAAAAATGAATTATTAATTTAATATTAATTTTTCTATGTACAGTACAGTGAGATTACGTATACAATTGATATTGATCCAATGTATACTGTCTAAATGTATATATTGTTAAATTATATACTTGTTTATTAGTAAAAATTTTTACATTTAGGTAATATTTATCGGCACTAGCTCTTAGAACCCGGCGTTGCCCGGGTTCGAGATTTTAATTTTTTTCTAATTCTTAGGACTCATCGTTGCCCAGGTTTGAGTTTCTAATTTTTCTAATTCTTAGGCTTTAATTATTTTAGCTTTAGGTATTACCTATGTTTGAGTTTTTAATTTTTTATTTTGTTTTTAGTTTAGATTCAAATGAATCTAGTTTGGGTAAACAATATTATAGTAAACTTATATTAGGTTCAAATGAACCCAATTAAATTCAAACAAATTCAAATTGAGTTTAAACAAAACTAATTGGGTTTAAACAAACCTGAATTAGATTCAAACAAACCTAATTGGGTTCAAACAAACCTAAATTAGATTCAAATAAACCTATATTAAATTTATTAAAACTTGTCTTGAGTTTAAATAAACATATCTTAGGTTTATTTAAACCTATCTTGAATTTATTTGAACTATACATGGTTTATTTAAGCCCAACATGGGTTCAAATAAACCCAATTTGAGTTTAAATAAACCTGACTTAGGTTTAAATAAATTTGTCTTGGGTTTAAATAAATTATCTTGGGTTTATTTAAATCCAGCTTGGGTTAATTTAAACCTGACTTGAATTAATTTGAACTTGGTTTGGGTTTATTCAAACCCAACTTAAGCTTATTAAACTCAAATTAGGTTCAAATAAACCTGTATTATTTTTTTATTTTTTTAATTCTTTATTTATTTTTTATTTTTTTTTAATTTTTTTATAATTTTTTTTTAATTTTTTTAATGTTTTTTTTTTATTTTTTTTATACATTTTTTTTTTTTAATTTTTTTTTTAATTTTTTTTATTTTTTATATTTTTTTTATTTATATATTTTTTTTTAAATAAATATGTTTTTTTTAAATTATTAATATTTATTTTTAAATTAATTTTTTTTTTAATTATCGTTGCTTTTTTAAAACTTTTTTTTTAAAATTGTTTTTTTTAAAACTTTTATTTTGATTTTTTTTCAAACTATTGCTAATTTTTTTATTAATTATTTTATATATAAATTTATTTATTAAATTATATCTTTAAATAATAAATAATATTTTTAATACAGAATAATCAATAAAACTTTCATTCAAAATTACTTACTTATTAAGCCTTTGCTCAAGTTATTTATTAAATATTTACTCAAATTACTTATTAAACCTTCGCTTAAATTATTTTTTTATATAGCTTATTGTGCTTTACTCAAATTACTTATTAAACTTTGCTTAAATTACTTATTAAATATTTATTCAAATTATTTTTTATAGCTTATTAAGCTTTACTTAATTACTTACTAAAATTCGCTCAAATTATTTATTAAACCTTCGCTCAAATTATTTATTAAACCTTCACTCAAATTATTTTTATATAACTTACTAAATCTTCACCTAAATTATTTTTTTTTATATAGCTTATATAACTTACTAAGCCTTCACTCAAATTATTTTTTATATAACTTATTAAATCTTTGCTCAAATTATTTACTAATCCTTTGCTTAAATTATTTATTAAACTTTCGCTCAAATTATTTTTTATATAGCTTGCTTAAATTATTTACTAAGCCTTTACTCAAATTATTTTTTATATAACTTATTAATCTTCACTTAAATTATTTACTAACCCTTTGTTTAAATTGCTTATTAAATCTTCGCTCAAATTATTATTTTATTACTTATTAACTTATTAAACCTTCACTTTAATTATTTTACTAACCATTTGTATAAATTGCTTATTAAACCTTCGCTCAAATTATTTTTTTATATAACTTATTAACTTATTAAACCTTTGCTTAAATTATTTACTAAGTTTTTAAATTGCTTATTAAACCTACACTCAAATTATTTTTTTATATAACTTATTAACTTATTAAGCCTTTGCTTAAATTATTTACTAAGCCTTTAAATTGTTTATTAAACCTTCGCTCAAATTATTTACTAAGCCTTTGTTTAATTTGCTTATAAACATTCGCTCAAATTATTTTTTTATATAACTTGCTAAACCTTTGCTTAAATTATTTATCAAGCCTTCGTTCATATGTTTTTTTTTTTATATAATTTATTAAATCTTTGTTCAAATTATTTACTAACCCTTTGCTTAAATTGCTTATTAACCTTTGCTCAAAATTATTTTTTTATATAACTTATTAAATCTTCGCTCAAATTATTTACTAACTTTTGCTCAAATTATTTTTTATATAACTTATAAAATCTTCACTTAAATTATTTACTAACACTTTGTTTAAATTGTTTATTAAACCTTTGCTCAAATTATTTTTTTATAAAACTTATTAACTTATTAAACCTTTGCTTAAATTATTTTACTAACCCTTGGTTTAAATTGTTTACCAAACCTTCGCTCAAATTATTTTTTTATATAATTTATTAACTTATTAAACCTTTACTTAAATTATTTACTAAGTCTTTACTTAAATTGCATATTAAACCTTCACTCAAATTATTTACTAAGCCTTTGTTTAATTTGCTTATTAAACATTTGTCTAAATTATTTTTTTATATAACTTGCTAAACCTTTGCATAAATTATTTATTAAGCCCTTGTTTAAATATATTTTTTTTTATATAACTTATTAAATCTTCGCTCAAATTATTTGCTAACCCTTTGCTTAAACTGCATATTAACCTTTACTCAAAATTATTTTTTTATATAACTTATTAAATCTTTGCTTAAATTATTTACTAACCCTTTGTTTAATTGCTTATTAAATCTTTGCGTAAATTATTTTTTTATATAACTTATTAACTTATTAAACTTTCATTTAAATTATTTTACTAACCCTTTTTTTAAATTGCTATTAAACCTTCGCTCAAATTATTTTTTTTATATATTAAACCTTTGCTTAAATTATTTACTAACTCTTTGTTTAAAATTGTTATTAAACCTTTGCTCAAATTATTTACTGAGCCTTTGCTTAATTTGCTTATTAAATATTTGCTCAAATTATTTTTTTTATATAACTTGTCAAACCTTTGTTTAAATTATTTATCAAGCCTTTGTTCAAATATATATATTTTTTTATATAACTTATTAAACCTTCACTCAAATTATTTACTAACTTTTTATTTAAATTACTTATTAAACCTTCGTTCAAATTATTTTTTTTATATAGCTTGCTTAAATTATTTACTAAACCTTTGCTCAAATTAGATTTGTCTGTGTGTTGTTTTGAAGAAGTTGATATAAGAAAGATACTGTGAGATAAGCATCTTCCTGAGCATAGAGTGGGTAGTGTTACAAGTTGTAGTGTTGGTAAGTGTAATCTCATTGTCTTTTTTATATGCTGCAAGAACAGTATTAAAGAGGTTTGTATATTCTTTTTCATATGCCAGAGTGGTCCTGGGGTTACATGTAAAGGTGGTAAAGAATCTAGTATCCCGGTGAGTGAACTTGAGAGTGATTGTCTCTAGTAGCTTATGTTTCGTGTTGTGAGTAGTTAACTTGTAGCTGATGAGGTCATAAATGCCTTCTGAGGTTTCAAGAGCTTTTGCAATTGTATCATAAGACCAAAGATTTGTGTTAAAGGGGACATTGATGGGTGTAATAATCTTAAGGTATACTTCTGAGGCCCATTCCATGTCATCTTCCGGAGCATTGGTGGTAAGAAGTTGAAGTTGGTTTTATGATTTGGCTGTAGGTAGGTTTTGTAGTTGTCTCTTTGTCTACTTGTATTCTAACTGATGTAGATGCACTGTCTACTATGGTCTTAGTGGCTTTGTTGGTAGTTGTGTTAAGTGGTGAAATGTTGGCCAGATTTCTGGGCCTTTAGTGAGTTGAGCTAGAGTAGGATGTAGCATCTGCAGGAGTAGGGTAGGAGGTAGGTGTAGTGAGCACAGGTTGTGTGATTTGCTAAGTAGGTGTGCTAGGTCTAGGTGTAGTGATCTTGGTATTATTAGTGTTGGAGCTGTTTGAAGGATTGGTGTTAGAGGGTTTGTTTATAGGTGGTACTACATTAGTATCACTAGTGTCTGTGTTAGTATTTGTATATTCTGTAATAAGATCTTGCGAAGAGTTAAGCTTTGTGAAAATTGCTATGTAAGCTTGCTTATTATTGCTCTTGTTTGACTTATTGTCTGAGTCCAAGTCTATAATACAGTTGTACAAAATCATGAGTAAGTCTGCATTATTTTTAGCTTTTGTGTAGAGTTTTATATTGTTTTCATAGGAGTTAATCATTGTTGTAAGATTACTACTATGTGTAGATTTGGAATGTTTGATGCTAATATTTACAGTGTTGTTTTTCTGTGTTGTAAGATCAAATAGGACTGATTTGGTGGGATCCTCATGGTTACAGATCTATTGGGATAGGTATTTGGTCAGGTTTGAGATTTTTTCTAATTTGGTAATATCAATGAAGAAGATGAATATGTCGTCATGCTCTGGAATAGAGAAGCTAACAGTGAATATGAGTTTTAACCAGTCTTTAATAGTGATATTTAAAAAATTTTTTGTGTGTTCTGTGCCTGGGCTAGGGGCGAGCTGGCAATATCAGTGTCTTTAGGTTGTACAGGTTTTACAGACCAGAAAAAATAATTACTAATAAAGGAGAAGCTTTCGGAAGCCATACTTTTGGTAGAGTCTAAAGGTGTGAAGCTTGCAGCTTCTCACTGTTTTTTCTTGGTGTGCTATCTGTAGCTTGTTTTTGGTTATTTGAAAACTGAGGGTCCATAGGACTGCTTTCACAGGAGGATCAAAAAACTGCTTTTTTGCTATTTAGTGTATTTATTGCTAGTAGCTTATCCAGAAGAGGTCTTTTGGCAAAAATTGAGGTTGTTCTTGGGGTGCTAGAAACTTTACTTAGAAGTTGAATATCAAGTTACTTAGTAAATATTAAAGAAAATATCACAGAAAAGTTTTTTTTTTCTTGTTTTTAATTTGGTAAAATGATCTATGAGAAGAGTTTCTCAATTATGCTCATAATATCTAATTTATTAATTTTAAAATTTATTAGAAATAATTAAGTATTTAAAAATTTTTATTATTCAATATTTAGCAAACTTTTCTAATTTATTGTTTATAAAAAGAGCTATTATGAAAAAGTTAAAAATTGAAAAATTATTGATTCTAAAAAAAATTGTATATTTAGTACTATTCTGGGTTCACTTCATATTTCTCTTAATATGCAAGAATCAATTATAATTGTATTTTATTCTCTTTTTAATTATTTTTATAAAACAATATTTAAAAAAAAAACTTGCTAATAAGCCTAGACTATAGTGAATTAACTTATTACTTTATTTAGCATATGAAAGTTGGTTTTTAGTTAAAAAATATATTATTAAGTTATTTAAAACATCTAAGAATATTGCAATATTGCTTTTTTAGATTTATTAGATAATTTAATTCTTGCTATTTTGGATATATATATGTGTTTATTTGATAAAATTATTTTGAAAAATATACTAATACAATATTTTAGTTGTAGACAATAATGCGAAAATTTTAAAGACATAATTATAATAAAATTATATTAGCCTTTCTTTTAGAATACAATATTGAAAAATAACTAAATATTTAATAATTAATATTTTAAAAACTCACTTAAATGCATTTAATGAATATCTAATTGAGAACTTCTATAGCTTATTACAACATAATACATATGCAAAAGTAAAAATAGAAATTTCTTTAAAAAAAGTTGCAATATTTCTTGATCATTGTCATCATAAAAATATATTTGCTACATCTTTTGAAGCAAAGCATAACTATTTTTATACAAAAAAGAATCTGGATAATTTGGTAAAACAATCTGCTATTTTTTTGTTGGATTTTTTACTAATTTATAACAAAATCCAAATAAAACTAAATTGAAAAAAGAAAAAAAAATAATAATGATTTTATTATTTTTTTAGTATTCAATCATGATTTTTTTTTAAAATCTTACACTTGGGTATCATTCAAATTATTATCCTATAGCTAATAAATTATGCAATTATATAAAATATACTAATCTTTATGTACTAAAGTTCAAATACTAATTTGTGAATACAGTTACCATGAAAATTGTGTTCAAAATTTAGGATTTTATTTCATTATTGTTTGAATACCTTTCTAATTGAATTGAAGAGTTATCAGAATCATATAATCAAAGATTACAGATGAGTAAAGATATAAATAAGTGGATAGATTCTGTTACTCAACTTGAAACTGATACATCAGAAGATGTTGAGCCTGTAAATGTATGCATTGAAATTGACAAAAGATTAGAAAGAAGGATCACTGGTAAATTTGCATATTAAATAATGTTATTATATTACTATTAATTAATATATAACTTTTAATAGAATTTATTGAAGATTGTTACAAGTTTCAATACAAAATTTAAATGCTATATTTTCATAAATTAGAAATTTTTAAATAATAAATCTTTATATGCTTTAGCTTTTAATTTAAAACATTTAAATGCATACATATAGCAAAATAATAATGATAAAAAATAAATTGTGCAAAAATTTCTACAATAGTATTTTAAGCTTGTTAATACCGATATCAATAAATAATGCATTCATAATTTGATTGGCTAATATCACATACAAATTAAATCAGATCGCGTCCGGCATTTCCTTGGCTGAGTTTAAACAATAATCCGATCATCCAATCAATGGATTTTTAACCATGCTTATTGTGAAACACTCTAATTGTAGGACTATAATGCGTAACTGCAATTTTTTGAGTTCAATTAATTTATTGGTGGTGAAGTCATAATGAGTCAATTAATTACAATTTTTACGCAATTAACATACGTATCATATATTCACCGTCAAGTTTATTACTATAAATACATGTGTTTTTTAATTTTTCGATATTTAAAAAACCAGGCTACATCGAGTCTGTATGCAGCGCTTTACGCGGCATGTAAAAGAAAATTAATTTAATTGCAAATAATTACAGTACAATTATTTCGTCATTAATTGGGTTTCAATTACTTTATAATAATTTTAATAGCTTTTATGTATGATGTATAATAAAATTATTTTGCAACTAATTTTTCGGTAGGCCTGAATACTGAATCAGCTGATCCCTATACATCATTAACGCAGCACCTCGTTATTCTTTTTTCATCCAAAATATTAGCATTGTCCGAACTTGCCACGATAGGATATTCGCGGGCAATATTAATGTTTTGAATGAAAAAAAAATAGCAAGGTACTGCGGCAATGACGTAGACGATCTACTCGAACATTGAGGCTGATTTTGAAACACTTGTGGAATTGTGGAATTAATAAATGTTCCACAACGTTGTGTAATTACGTAAAGGTGTTTGCGAGAATTACGTATCACTAGTAAAGATACCATTATTACTTAAAACAATCTCATAAATTTTCAAGAACTATTATCTTAATTTTTCTTTTGTTAAATCTTATAATAATTTTTTTTTTTTTGACGTTATGTCAAAATTTTTCTTTCAGAAAAAAATTGTATAAAAATAAATAAAAACAACCCAAATTATGGTAAATTCACAAACCTGGTTAGACCAAAATTATCCCACAAATAGCACTTGCATAAGAGTTGAAGATAAAGAAAATTATGGCAAAACCAGAGATCAAATAGTTAATTTAGATATTAGTTATCAAAATTTAGAAGGCGGTTTACAACTGGACAGCTCCTTCCCCAACTTAAAAAAATTGAACTGTTCGTTTAATAATCTAACTGGTCTCTCTTGGAACACACTTCCTAACCTAGAATTAGTTGATGAAGCTTACAATCAGTTAGCAGGCAGTGATTTTGGTTTACGAAACTCTCCTAATATGAAAACATTAAATTTTTCTCACAATAGTATCACTGCTTATTTTTTCGACGTTCCCAATTTAGCTTATTTAGATGTTTCTAGTAATTTACTTACTATTTTGGATCTTCATAGCAATGCAAATTTAGTGGAATTAAAATGTTCCAATAATCCTATTTCTAACTTAACCCTAACCCAATCTTCTAAACTTGTCCTTTTTGATTGTTTGGGCGTTAGATTTGACAAAACTATTGTTTCAACTCCGATCATTTCTCCCACTTCTTTTTCTCCAACTTCCACCATTTCCCCAACCGCAACGATCTACAACAACCCTGCTCTCCTCGGAAGCACCATTGGGCTGGGAATTTACTCGGGAATAAGCACACTCGGTTGGCTAATCTTGGGTTTCGTTTTCTTTTATAAACGTTTTTTACTAAAAAATGTCATCCCAACTCCTGGTAGTTAATCATTATTCAATTGTCGATTTTATAAAAAAAGCAAAATCAACCTCGTTCTCCGTGTAATTCAAGTTAATAAATCTATTATGCCATTCATTTTTACATAATAATATCTTTACGAAATACATAGTGTTAATGTTTAATATAACACTTTTTTATAATATTAGATATTAGACACGTCGTTAAATGGCAGGTTAGATTTAACATTTTTTAAAATAAGTAAAATGTTTGCTTTTTTAATATACATTTATGTTGCAAGCTCATTACATAATATTTTATATAAGTCAAGATCTATTAAAAATATCCAATCTTGTGCTGTATACAATAACTATTACTAAAAAAAAATCATTTGGTAGTATACTTCAGCGTGTTATATTTTGTTTAGTTCAATACGATGCAAAATTAAAAAAGAAGAATTGTAAATAATTCGAAGCTATAGTATTTTTTTTGTCTTTATTGTTATATTTAATCTGATGCAAAAATTATAAATTGATCGGATTTAACATAGATTTATGCCTCTTCGAGAAAATGTAAAGATAAATTATTAAAACTGGTGATTTAATATTAATAGTACATTTTATATTGTTTACAATTTGCTAATATTTGCAAAATTTAAAATTTCAAAGTTTCGCAAGGTATATTCGCATTTTATTTTTTAAGGCAGATTATATAAATCTAATTCTGGTTCGCTACCTTGCTATTTTGATTTGTCATGACCAAAAGTGGGATATAGTGTACAAAAAAAAAATAAAATAAAATGGTCAATGGCGACCGAATTATTAAAGTGCAAAAAATCTTGATGCGAGATGTAGCACCACTGGTAGATACCAAAAATATGTAAAGGTAAATACCAATATGTTAACTATATTTGTTAATCGTAAACTGTATTATTAGATATGAATAGCTTATCACGAATTTAAAAGCCATGATAATAAATATTAAGTTTTTGTATTAAATCGATGACCAAATTGCATTTATTTTAATGTATCATTAAATAGTATTATATTATGTATAAAAATATTGCAGTAGATATTCTGAGATGAAGGATTATCCAATTCATCCAATTTGATAAACTGCAAATTTCTGTTCCCAGTATGCGAAATATATATTGCATGTGAAAAAGTACGTCAAGAATTTGCATAGACACTTTACACGCCACGAAATCATACCGTATAGGCGCGTAATAACGCACATGGGCGTTATTTCGAAAATTCCATTTTTTTGAAAATCGCATATTTGACTCAAATTAACGCCCATGCGCGTTCCGAAATAACGCGCCCACATATATAGTCTCAGATAAGCTTTTAACAGTTGTAACTTTTTTCTTCAAAATTAGGATAATTATTCGAATTATCGCGCATGCGCGTCCCGAAATAATGCGCCCTGCGCGTTATTACGCGCCTATACGGTATTTCCGTTCCTACTGTCCTAGTGTACGTTAAAAGTACAGTGCGTTCTCAACCTCATTCTTGATGCGATTAGCTAGCGATCACATTACACAATTATAATTATATTTATATAAATATTTGTCGACAATTTGAATATGCAAATAATGATGCAATTGAAAGATTTCTCAAACATGTCTTCGATATGATAAGCTAATAGATTGAAACAATGCTCATTTAATATAATCAATATGTATTGTAATTAATATTTGAGGGGTTCTTATTATTCTTCTATTTATCAAATATCATAAAAACTAATAAAATAAAGGAAAAAAGAAAGCCACCTAAAAAGTAACGGATATTGGGTTGTTGTACCAAATGAAGAAATAGGGTTGACGTTTGCCATATGAGTAGAGACTACGAATCTGCTTTTATTTCGGGCTTCTTCCTGATATTTTTGTTTTCCATGAAAACTTTAAGAAGAAAAATAATAATTGTTGCCATTGAGGATGAGGGCTCATGACAAAGTTACTTAAACGATCTCTTTAAATATTCACTTAAGGGGCAATCCACAGTTGAAGGGGATAATATTTTATAGTCAAATGTGGCAAAATATTACTATCAGTTTCATATAGAAGAGTGCGAATGCCATACATTTTTGACATTAAGAAAAAATCATATGGTAAAAAATCGAAATAATCATATTTCAAGCATATTTAATTAACCTTTATATATAAGAAATCACCATAAAAAGTTACATTGAATTCTGATTTTATTTATACAAGATTTGCTATATATATATATATATATTTACCTTTTAAAAAGGAACTATCCCTTAATATATTTACTGTCGGGGATGATTATGAAATTTGAACTATTTTAATATGAATTTTAAAAAATATTGGGGTTTTTTACTAGATTTTTTTTTTTATGGTTGGATTAAGATTTAGGTTTAGGGCTTATAATTAAAAGTATCCCTATAAGAAAAATGTACCGGATCGGCACGGGTTGGTTTCGGATAGGCACGGGTCAAGATCCGGATTTGTACGGGTATGGTCCGAGTAGCATAGCGGGCTTTCATTCCTATTGGTTAATTTTCGCAGATCATTTTTGCCGTGATCCGGTGATTTCATCCAATC